GTTTTTAAACAGAAAATATTTTTTTTGAGGAGGCATGCAGGTATCGTAACTGACAGGACTTGCAGTAGCCACCCCGCCTACTAAACCCCCGGTGGCTCCCATTACATTTTGGGTGAAATCTGTTTAAATTTGAGAGCCATCGGACACTTTCGGTTGCAGACGCCTTCGATGAAACAAGGCTGGAAAGGGATAATTTTGACTTTTAGGTCAAGTTATCAAATTTAAAAAGATCAATGCTTGGGTTTTTTAAAAAAATCGAAGAATGTTTCATGCAACGTGGGCAACGAACACTTTTCTCTCCATTTAAGTGAAAAGTTTCGGATTAAGAAAAACCCTAAAAATGAACCCTGTGCCAGAACTTTTAAACCAAATTTTAACCTTGTGGGTTTTAACTTTTTACGAGGGGACAATCATTTTTGGATCTGTGAATTTTCCCTTCGTAAAGGTAGATACCTTGGGCATGGGGTATTCCGTGTATTATAAGGGCATCTGTCCAACCTCCTTTATGGACCAACACAAAAAATAACTTTACAGAACTTACTTGGAAAACCAAATAATTCAAATTTTTTATTATTGTGATCGAGACAAGCGGTCAGGTCTCTGGTCGAGTTACACTTGCGGGCGACTTCGGAGACTGCATATCTTAAGAAGACTTCTTTATAACTTGAAAAAACACTTCAAAAACACGGAATAATAATATCTTCCGTCGTCTTCTAGACCTTTTTCGCGCTTACTTCCCCCTTTTTTAGGAGCATAGAATAATTATGCATATGGCATTATTCTGGTAGAAGCCTCCACCAAAGAGTGTTACATTTTAACCACTTGGGGGCCAAATTGCCGATAATGGACCTAGATCGTGCCATAATGGGGCCCCGTGAAAATTACCCTTTGGATTTATGTTAACTAATATATTTAGTAAACAATTTTATTTTTTCCTTGAATTTTATTACATTTAGGAAACCCTTGGGCCAGGTTTTTTTCAAAACGAAACCCGGTGCCTACGAAAAATGCAAATTTTTGCTATTTAGTCAATTTTCCAGTATATGGTTTTCTGAACAAATAAATAATGTCCAGAATATTCAATTTCTGCACCCGAAAAATAATTTGTTTGTGGTGTTGAAAGATTTCTACCAATTTTCCAAAAAAGGCGCCTATAAATTTGGTAAACCGCACCAATGCCAAGATTTTAAAAAAACATGTAAACCGTTGGTAATTATTAACCCGGGGTGTGTTATTAAACGGGGCCGACACCGGGCATCCAAGATCCTCCCGGAAGGAGGTCAGAAAAAAATTGTGAACAACCCCAACTTAAAAAATTGAATTTGGGGGCAACTTTTTTACAGCTGCCCACGGCACTTGACACCTGGCTGGGTTTGTGCCCCAAAGTTTTTCCAGTTTGGACACGATATACATTCAAAAGGATTTAATATCAAAAATCAAATAATTTAGTTTTCATATATAACAGATACAGTTAGACATTCCTGATTTCAACAAATAGAAGAAAAATATTCTCTATGATTGACAAGACAATTTCATGATCTTTTACCTTTCTGTTTAACATGTATGCAAATTTTTTAAACCAATACATGTATTTGTGATGATAATGATAGTAATTTTGCATCATTTGGCATTCACAATATTCATAATGGAGAAATTTTACTCTTATTGTATCTTATTTCTATATCTATATTAAAGGTCAGTACTCTTGTTTGCATAACGGAAAAAATACACTATCAACCATTTTTTTAAAAATATTGTTCTCTTCCTAAACAAGAAGGCTCTCACATGGTGAATCTGACGTTATTCTCGCAGGTATGCAGTAGACATCACAGAAAATAATGACCTGTTTAATATAAAGCATGAAGGTACAACAAACGTATCTAATAACCATTTCTTTCAGAGATGAACAATAAGCTCTTATGGAATTAAAAGATGATATCTTCCCTAGATATAAACAAATTTTCATTTACGTGGTGTACGTTTCGGAGATACAAAATTTTAAATATCTTTGATAATCTTTTCAGGACGTGTTATAAGAAGTGTATGGGCCGTTTTCGTAACGAAACAACACAAAAGTAATACCTCAATCTAGAAATTTTTATAAAAAAATCATACATGTAATACATTTGCAATACTTCACACCATTGTTACCAGACATTTTTTTTTGTAAGATGTTGGTTTAAGTGTTTCTGGTTGCACATTCATCCCTACAGCAGTTGGAACAAACACAGCGACTTATATGGAGAACAACATAAGACATGCTGCTTTAAAATGAGACAATGTGTTTTCTTAGGGCGGTAGCTCAGTGGAAATATTGCATAAAAATGAACAAGTTTCTCCTCCATATTCTGTCCCTTGGGTATATAATATAGGGCAATACAAATAAGACTATACACTGGCGTATAAAAATCAAACCATTTTAAAAAAATATGAATCACATTTCAAGTTTTTTTTTTTTAATAGATATTTTGTACGTTATGAGCAATTTTGCAAGGTAAATTGACAGACGTAAAGAACCACATAAGTTTTCCCATCCTTTACGTGGAAAATGCACAAAAACTTATAGACATATTCACTGGCTACTTTTGGCACAATTTTATGTTGCGAAAATTGATATTAAAAAGCATGCTATTTTGATAATGAGCACTGGAATATGTTTAACAAAAATAAGTTCAAACTTTATATGTCTGATTGTTTTCGTTGGAAAAACCGCCATATGAGCAATATCTCCGGATGTTTCAAACTTTTTTCAGCTCATCTTAAATTCTCCTTAAGCCGGTGCGAGGGGTGGGGGCGTAAACGGTAGCTTTCATTCACCACTACCGTCTATGAACCTGCTCACTAAAATATTTTTCAATTTTATCGTGTTTGGCTCTCTTTTGAGATTCTGTTTTTCTATTTGGTATTAAAAATAATCAATGTTTGAGGTGCAACATGATTAACAGGAGATGGTTGTTTTATGCAAAGTATGACTGTCCAAAACATGGCGGGCCAACAGACGTCATGTCCTCTACACTGGAAATATATTTCGTGATAACTATGCTGAGCAACTTAATGCAAACTGATGAAGAAAAGTGTTTGCTCGAGCAATTGCTCAGTGGATATATTGCAGATCTAGTAGTAATCACCCAATTTTTCAATATATAGACCTACTGGTATGTTCACTCTGAAAAGCGAACACCGCCTCCGTGGTCGAGGGATTAGAGTTGATGACTTCTTAATCCAGTTACCTCTCTGGCCGTGGGTTCGATCCCGGGGAGATGCTTTGGTAGTTAAGCACTGAGGAAGGTAGTAAAGTACTGGTGTAACTCTCCTGGAACGATGGTTAGGAAACTACCACCTATATGACTGAAATACTGTTGGAATAGGCGTAAAATAAAAACAAACAAAACTGAAAGCGAACACAATGATTTTGTTTGTTGTCATATGGCGACGTTCCAGCTAAAATGTTGCAGAAAAACCTCAGGTGCCATTCCGTGGAAAGGTCACCTGAGTAGAACCACCGACGTTCCATAAGCTAGCTGGATAAGCTTCCTCACATGAAATAATCCAAAGTCCCTGTCGGGATTCGAACCCACGGCGAAAGCAGGGGCAATTAATATGAAGTCAACGACCTTAACCACTCGGCAACGGACGCGCGTACACAATGGTAAAAAGTTATATCTCTGTCATCATTTTTATAATAATATGTCGCAACCCAATATCTGAATATGAACAGATCGTTAAACGATTTTAAGATTGTTTGTTTTTGATTTTGTTTAATGAAAATTTCGGACCTCTTCTATGCTGTTTCTTTGCAGAACAGCGTTGAGCCTTATTATTGCTGTGAAGAAAGATCATCAATTTGCTTTCTATGCCCAAAATTTTAAAACATTATTTTTGTCAGTCCTCGGCGGCGGAATCCGCCTCACATGCTCTCCTTGACAACTTACTAATATCAACAAACAATTCCGCGAGTGGACCGACAACTTATCCCAACCATGATTTCTGGACAAATGATAAAAAAGACTAAATGTCGGAGTTTATTTGTCACGGAGGAATTTCGACTTGCCCGATGATAAAACCAGCGACATTTTTAATCTCTAAAAGAGCTCTACTGAGAAAATCAGACTTACTTTATTACGAAAATTGTATAGAAAGCTTTTTGGCAGAACCTGGGACACTAATTTGTTGGCAGGTAACGTAAATACACCTTTATGCATTGTCTTCATAATTCGTATCAAATTAAAGCGCACTTTGCTTATTAAACAAATTAAATACCAAATTAATACATTTCTATTAATTTAAACAGGTGTAATTCGTAAAGCCGGCTCCGGATTGCTATGCTGGATTCAACGTTCAGAGCATTATCCAAAACCTCCCTGACACCCAAAACAATTGATTCTAATTTGATGCATTGGGGCGCTGCAAATTATCCATACAGGTAAAATTCGGAATAATTAACAACAAAATGCTGTGGTCAATTGGTGTTTATTATAATTTGGCATTAAACCGAATACATGGTAAAACATCCTTTGAAAATAATTCTAATGCAAAAAAAAAAATTATTTGGATTTATGTTACAAATGTGTTTTTACTGTTTTGGGTTTAAATTTATGTAAAGTAAAAAATAACTAAACCCCAAAAAACAATTTTTTGCTAATACAAGATGATTATTTACAAACCCCTAATCTATCTTTTAAAAATAATATTAAAAGCCCAAACGTGTTTTTATTTTTTTTGTTTTACATATTTTTGGGGGTTTAAAAACAACTCGTCTTCCAGGGAAAATACTTTGGAAAAAAACTATTCTCTGTACAAAAATTTTCAAAACTCTCTTCCTGGGATTCTTCAATAATTTTGTTAAAAGGAATCAAAAATTTAAAGCTTCCCCTAACATTTCATATTTTTTAAATTTTTTTTCTTCGAAAACAGTTCGGGTTTTTCGGCCCTTTTCTTTAAAATTTCTACGGGGAAAATTTTTTTCCCTTCGGATAAATTTTTATACGGCCCTTTAACGGTGTGGATACCGGGGACCGTATTAAGCTTATAGGGCAGCAAATAAATAGCTTTGTATTAAATATTTGTTTTTATTTGTGGCAATGAAAAGTTTGTAAAAATATTTAATTTAATAATTATTACTATTTATTGCCAAAGCTTACGACAAGTGTCAAATTCCCAGCAGAATAATCCCTTCTCTTGTTTTTGTTGTTGTTTCATTATCTCATAGCATTGGTTGAGCTGAATCATTTAATTTTGAGTATTTTTACCAATCTGTCACCATATGTTTTTGTCTTGCATGTCCCCTTTATGTTTCAGTAACCATTGGTTTCTGCACTATTTTATTGTTCACATAACTAATAAAAAATAGTAAAGAATGGCAACAACATGTTCTACGAGTACGATTTCTTAAAATACAAAACTAATTGGTACCTTTAATGCATTCAAAAAGAATTGTGTTACCAAAACGAATCACAAATAAAATGACCATGTCAGCAGAACTAAAGAATAAAATACGATAACTCATGAAACAGAATGAGATTATACAATTAACTATATGCAACAATTTGAAACATTAATTACATGGACATTGTTTAAGTATGTTTGGTATACAATAGTATAATTTTATATGTACAAAGGGCACATACATACATACATACATACATTCATACGGACTACGTACAGACAGACAGTCGGCCGAACGGAGGACGGACAGACAGACATCAAACTATGATATATTTTATGTAATTATGTAAGAAACGTAACAACGTTAAAATAATTGTAACATACAAAATTCACTACGACTGAATGATTTGGATTATAAGTAAAAAATAATTAAATTTATAATCACACTGACATTAGTATTCCTTTAAAAAGTAAACATGTTTTCAACTGAAATTGGAAAACTTAATACATTGAATGTATAATCGCTGTTACAAGCTTAACAAAGATTAAAACACGCAATCTTTACATGTACATGTAGTTTTAATTTCCAAGGGAAGGACTCTTTATTGTTTATATGTGTATATGGATTATAATCATATATTTAACAAAGTAAAGACTTAGATTTAAAACTGTTTGCGAACTATAATGTATATGGTCACTCCTGAGTAGACAGTAGCTGATAAAATAGGGTTTTTAAAAAAACGTGTGCGAAAGTGTAATAAACTAAATATATGTGTAATTTCTGCTGCTGAAACTGTATTTACTATTTTCCTTGAGCAACTCCTTTACACAAAATAGCTCCCCCCTCTTCCAACAACAATACAGGCCAAACAACGAAGTCTATTTTCTTTCCAGCTTTTGTATATTGTTTATATCTGCTAGTATCAAAGTTGGATCCTGGCTTGGCGCACATATCAATGATAACAGGTGGAGTTTGTACGTGCATTAACCAACACAGCTCTATACAACGGGTCGTATAACTTCGCAACTTTTCCGGAACAAACCAGTCCTTCCTTGCCAATTCTATTTGCTATGAAAATATAAAGTAAAATTATACTTTTAATTTAAATTTATACTTTTAATAAATGTGTTATGTATTTTATCATAAATTTAATTTGTATAATTATTTTTTCTTTCATATTTTAATGTGTTGAAGAACATTTGTTTTCGTAAAGTATTGTATTGTGGCAGAAAAAATAAAAATAAAATAAGAATAAAGATCAACAAGGCAATGCAACGTTCACAGAACGCATCCCCCGACAAAATTCAGTCACAGGCTATTTTGCAACATGTTTACATGCATTTAATTAACTGTATTTTACAAATCGTGGTAGCCTTATTATGTGACATAATATTTGCTTTAAAACACACATACCGATATAACATTAACAACGGATATATCTGCAGTCTGCTTACGAAGTTCTGATAAAGCCTTTGACTGAACCGCTGAGAAGGAGACAGGGCTTTCCGTTTTCCCCTTTTTCTGGAAAAGAGATATCCAAATTCGTATGTAACTAAAACGTAATTAGGTTATAACGTTGAAAATCATATATATTCTCCAAAAATAACTATATACAAAATGCATTGTGAAACAGACACATACAGGCTTTAATGTATTGACTTATAAATGTTTGTTCGTTAAAGAAACGTACTTTGAATATTTGATACAATTTTTGTTGAAAATGTCATAACGTGACAATAAAACATATTTTATATCTAATTGTAATATCTAATTTTTTGTTTATATGAATACATTTATTCGTAAAAACAACGAAAAGTTAAACAAGAACATTGATGGAGGTTACCAAAAAGAGCACATGAGAGATGGAAGGATGTGCAAGTGAGAAAGGTGTAGAGTGGATGAGGAGCTGATAGATCATGTCTGGTTCTTCAAGAATATCTAGGCAAGGCAAACGTATTCTAACATTCAAACATAAGGTCGGTATAATGACGCTTAATGTAATTTTAAAATTAGAGTAGAGAAATTATCATAGATAGATGCCTAATGGAATGAAAAGTGATGTTTTGCTCTTAACTGGTAAAACGTTATAAATATAATATTTCAAACAATGCGTTAAAAATTCATTAAAGGAGCGTTCTTTACAGGCACTGAACAAATACAGAAAATAAGAATCCCGAAAGAAAGTCCAAAATGGTCAAATTGAAAATGTTGTAGGCTCGGTTTGATTGAGCCTGTTCATGGACGGTACTGTCAAGTGAAAACTACGAAGAAAATTATCGGATTGACAGAGAGACAAACACAAGTATGCCTACTGAGGATCATAGTGCACGTTATGTTTTACCGTAAGAGAGACTTATAAACAAATGATTTCAAAACAAAGAAACCATTGATTTAAATGTGAAATAACCATTTTTGCCCCGGCTCTCAAGTTATATATTATTACCCAACTGCTTTTTACATTGTGTAAACATTATTTATCACGGGACACTTGTATATATATCAATACCGGAACAAGAATTATTTATTACCTGTTCTGATGCTTGTCCATCTTCTATATTATTTGCAGGATAACACACAGCATTCTTCAAATTCCGTTGATGATTCATAGATATTTTTCCACAAATTTCATAACAATCCTGGTAAGAAAGTAATAGATATCAAAACGCATTTTCAATTTAGTGTAACAGGATATCAAAGCAATGTTATAAGATAGGTCGAAAAAAATAAAGATATTTTAATTTGACACAAGATATGCGCCGTGGGAGCATCCTAATACTTACTTATTTCAACAATTTAATTTAAAATGTTATTTGGGTTTTGGTTTTAATGACATTGTTAACAAAATACATAAAACTGACTCATTGCTTACCACTCATATATCAGTGCAATTTAAGATTTGGATTATTGTTTATTCATGTATATATTTCAGGTTAAATTTAAAGGTACCGTACATCATGCCTTAGAAAAAGTTAAATATTTTCTTCTTCTATAGTGTTTAAATAATTGTTTAAGAGAATTTTAGATGCTTGTTTCCTGAAGAAAGTAGCAAAAAATGTGGAATAATTTGTCATAAAAGTAAACAAAATATATACAGAGTAGTAATTTGATTTTCATACAAAATACCCAATTCATTATAGCTGTACTGATTACCAAAAAGGAAAAGATGAAAAAGATGGTTCAGGTAATTGGTCAATTAGTAACTTTTTTGATTACTATAACTGTACACGAAAATTAAAAGCTTTTGATTAATAAAAAGTAAAATAATGGCATTTCTGAGGCATACAGGGCCTTTAATACGCCCTCTTACTACGATAATCTTCAACAAAAAATCTGTGTTTTCTTGATCTTTATCTCCCAATACTTCGAATGCATCTGTCCAGGGGGTGTCATACAACTCTGAATACTGTTCGGCTATTTTGGTTGGACGGTTAGGATCACTAAGATCTGCAATATTTGGATTGTTGTCCGTCAGACGTGCTCCAGCGACCTTTGATAATCTAAATTTAGTCACAAATCAAATAATAATAATAATAGATTTTATATTGTTAAGAAAAAAGGAATTATATCAATTAGAATATTTACTTTGAAATATAACAATATTATCAGCAAAAACCCCGTTTTGACGTAAGGATCACAATAGAAATAAGAGATCAGGTTATCTTTCTTGTGTTTTCATAGGTATGGTGTTTTGATATGGTTTCATTTCTTAAACATATAAATCTATCTATACTATAAATATTGAAAACATATTTCAAAATATTGACTGAGTTGTACAGCCAAACTTGTCAATCTTTACATCTGTTAATTACAATTGTTCGAGTTCCGTTTGAAATTAACTCTTATGATTTTGTATTCATTATATACTCCGTCATTTTTTTAAATTAATGCATAATCATAAACATTGATCATTGATTTTAAATGGATTGTTATATGATAAAAAAAACTAGTTTGCACAATTTCTTTTTTCATCATATAAAACATTAAGTCTTCATAACGTATTTACATTTCATTGCAAAAAGAAATACAACTAAGCTTTGGCATAGTAGAAACATGATCCTGTGAAACGTAATCATAATGCATGTAGTATGTAGACATAAAAGGGACAGGTGATATCTTTTAAACGGGTGTAAGATGTTTTTTGTGTGCTGTTTTTTTAAAAAAATGTTTTCTTTCGTTATGTTTTATATTTATCTTTATTAGTGACAAATTAATATTTTGATAATGTCATGTGACTATATTTCTTTACTAATTCTACTATGGGCTGTGAAATGAAGAATCGTATTGCTTATGTTAAGAAATGAATTTTCTATTCTAACAATTTTTGATATGTGAAGGCTGAAATTGTGCAGATACTAAAATGTTATCACTAGTTAAGTTGTTTGTACCTACCAAGTCTGAATCGTGAGGATTGTAATTATTCTCATACTATGTAAATGTTAATTCATAACACTTTGTTATGCTTTGATTCTTGTCAAACCCTTAAGAGAAGAATAACATACATATTCATAGTGAATAGATAACTAGTATAATTTATGAAAGATTATATTTATATTTCATCGCTTTCTATTTTTAACTTTCTACATTTAAAGCATAAAACTTGTATACTTTTATGATATTGACTCAACACTGATCTGCCTAATAACTTTGTCATACCTATTATACGCACTTTCTTTGTCTTCCCTTAACTGTCTCATCTCTTCATGCAAAGTCCGCATCTGATCTTTTAAATTATTATAATCTTCTTTTCTGACGTATCTTAACTGAAAACTTAACACAAATTACAGTCTTTTTCATTAATTTAAAATGAACTGACATAACACACCTTACTTGTTTTCCATGAGCTTTCGACATAAAATGGTACACATTTACATTACGTGTAGTAACATTATACGAGTATGTTGTTGCCTTAATCATAAAAAAATATCATTTTTCTGGAAACAAATGTGCTTAAAGAAAAATACTTATGCGGTGTTTGTATGTTTCTTCTCTTTTGAAGTAAAGTTTTAAATAAATGTAAGTTATCAATACTCACTTTAATGTTAACTTTTATGTTTACGAAATATTAACATCAAACATTTCACTTCTTATATACTTAAATAACTGCCTCAACTATAAAGCGAAATAATTTAAATAAAGACGCTATCAAATTTAACATGTTTTTAATAAACCTTTTTTTGTTTTCTCTTGTGCAAGCACGTATACGATCAATTAGTGCTGCATGGCCATGTAGCCACTCTGGAACTTTTCTACGTATTGAATCCACATTTGTTTGTGGTTCCAGAAACAGATAGGGTTTTTCTAAGAGTTCAGAGTATAACAACGTAAGAGAATTAGTGGACATGTCAAGCATACTCTGCATTTCGTCAAACATTTGCTTCCGTCTGAAATATAAAAAGTAGATATGGTTATATCAAAATTTTATTATACATCTGTTGTTATATCATTAATTGTTTTGTGACAAAAATTTAATTAATAAGAGAAAGAAAGATTTGGCATTTGAATTTGGTCTTGTTTCATGTAAGAATTTTTCCCTTAATCACTTATACTTGTTTGTTGAGATAAAATTGAATAAAGCTGAAACCGGTAATAATTATGTGATACAGCTTTTGCTGTAAAACTAATAAAGGTCATGAACAAACTGAAGAACTGAGTCCCTAATCCTTACAAGGAGCTAATAAATACAGTCCGTTACTACTTCACTGTCATTGCTTATGATTAAAGGGTATAAATCTATATCTTATGAATTATCATCTTGAATTATTAAATATATATTTTTGTCGATATAGATTAAAACAGGGCTTGCTCCTATTCAGATTTATTAGTTTAAAGGCTTAGAATTAATAAGGTTATTTTTCATATTTTCAGTTATTACATTTGTAACAAACTTTCAACTTGTGTCAATCTTTTATTTAACTAGTTTATCCTGATTTCATATTTTTTTGCTTGCTAAGAATAGTTAATTTTAAAGTGATTATTGTAAACATGTGAAGCTTTAAGTAACTTTAAGTTCAGTGTAAATAAAAAACTAAGTTCATTAAGAATTTGGCTGATATAAATTTATTCAACATTTGTGTTTTCTTTCCCTTAAAATCCAAAATATGGTGTCATCCTGACGATAACATTTATCCTATTAAAGAGTACTACTGAGCAAACTAAGAACATCAAAAGTAAATATTAGGTAATGATCAACTAAATTCTGTATATACGTACACAGAGATAACACAAATATATTTGTTTACTTCATGGTATTATAAGTCATATGTTAAATATCGAGATACAACTTTTTGGGCATTTATTGATTTTAGTTAAGCCTTTGATTATGTTGTCAGAGATAGTTTATAGTTAAAAATGATTAAGTTAGATATTTGTGGAAACGTGTTCAATACCATTATATCTATGTATTCAGCAAATAAATCTAGAGTTATATATTACAACTAAATAAGTACGCGATTTAAATGTATATTATGTGTATGACACGGCGAGTGTTGACTCCCTCTCTTTTCGCAATGTTTCTTAATGATTTAGAAGATAAATTTATTGATAAAGGATTTGAAAGCATTGGTGTTCATATGTTTAAAATGATTTAATCTTATATGCATATGATATTGTTATATTTGCAAAGAGTTGTATTAGATTACAAAGTAGCTTTATACCAAAAGTGTTTTAAGTGGAAACTTGTTGTTAATTCAGAAAAAAACTAAAGTAATGCTTTTTCGCAAAGGTGGCCGTTTACAAAGTTATATATCGTTTAGCTATTATGGTTATCCCGTTGAAATTGTAAGTAAGTTCAATTACTTCGGCATTGTTTTTACAACCGGTGGTTCTTCCTCTGAAGCTCAAAGTACACTTACTGTAAAGGCATTTTTTAGAATGAATAAGTATTTATCTAATTTACAGATATATCTGTATACATAGGTTAAAACGTTTTGACAAACTTGTTTCTCCTATTCTTAATTATAGTTAATGCAATTCTATAAATCTATGTAGGGGTTAAGAAAACGACTCAATACGATTTCATTTATGGTGAATTGGGTAGGCTGTCTTTTTAAAATATAATGATATTTCAACATAATTACATTCAATCTAACTGCTTGGTATTTAACGATCATCATATTTGCTATTAGAAGTCTTTTGATTTCCTTTTTTGTAACAAGACTTCATTTTCCTTCACATGAATCATTCTTTAAACATGTGTTCATTTTATGTTAATATGTTGATTGCTTGTACATATATTGTTCCAATGGGTAACTAAAGAGGTAACTCCGTTTATTGTCGCCGTAATAGGTAAAATAGGGTCGGGGATCCATCCATTACTTTACCTTACAATTTATTATGTTACAAAAAAACATAAGGGCATTTATATCATACATTATTTTATAATATATACAATACACAGAAGATAAATGTTTTCTTGGAATTCAGAGTATTCCATTTCCACAAAAAAAAACTGGATATAATATACACAAACTGTAATATATAAGTAGTTAATTCAAAAAGGTACTATCTATTTGATATCATATCAACTAACGAGTACATAGATTTTTTGATTTTTTAACTTTTGTATAACTTACTTATGAAGATGCTAGTTTTAAACTGCAGACGAGGCCTTGTATAAATGGTATTAGCTCCCTCCTCTTGCACAAGAATATCTTTTTAATTCTAGACAAAAATATTAAAGTGACATTGGTCACCTTTTTCATACCTTAAAATAAATGTCTTACAATCAACATTTTGACATTTTAACAATTGTTGCACATCTGAGATAAAAATTTTATAACAATTCCAGAATAAATTAGATAATGTCTCTTTTTTTTCTTTGCAGAAAGTGCATTTATCAGATTGTATCAATCTCATTGTAGACATTAAATAGTTTGTTCTTAGAATTCTATGGATGATTCTAGTTTGAAGCCACTGAAGGTGGATATCATTAGTTTCAGTGTGAACCCATTCAAAGAGGTATTTCCACTCAGTATCATCAATGTTAAAATAAGCATTCCATTTTGATATATATGTAGGTATTTGACAATTATCAATAAATACATTATATATGGTAGAGATTCCATTTCTACATAAAAAATTTGTTTTATATAAAAGGGAATAGATGGCAATAATGCATTGGTATTAGAATATTCAATTTTTAGAGACTTTATGTACTTTCTAATAGCACATTTCAAACCTTCATAAACTAAAAAATTTATATTTGTACCAATTTTTGTTTCTAAATTTTCTTTACTCACAAATTTTTTATTTTTTTCATAATATCTTTGATAAAAAACGCTCTATTTTCATACATTGATTTAACATTCACAGGCTTTCTATCTATCAAAATATTATTATTGTAAAACAATGGACATTTAACAAACTGGTCTATATCTGTTATTTTCACGATATCTATAAAGTCAATAAACGCTAACATAGCATCTTTTCAAAAGTTATTGTACATTTATTTAGATTCAATTTCTACAGTTAAAAACTTTGTCATAATTAAAAATGTTACTTATAAATGTGAAACATTTTTTACCACTTCCAGTGAGAAGTCTTCTAAACCATGTTAATTTCAAACTTTTCATATATGCAAATACACCAATCATTTTTAAACCACATTCCCTGTAGTTTTTTATTTAAACACTAGATTTAATTTTAGATGGGCCACCCCAAACAAATTCATAAAACATTTTATTAATATCTTTGAGTATTTGTGTACCTGGGTTTGGAAGAGAAATAAACAACTGTGTTAGAAGTGGTAATATAATAGACTTAACAACTGTAATTCTACCAATAGGAGTTACCTCCCTCCGATTCCAATACTTTATGCAATTTTCTATTTTCTTACATTTTTCTGTGAAATTAATATCTACCATTTTTTATAAATCTACATGAAAATTTATACCAGAGCAATTTCAAAGCTCTGCCACCTCCGTTTAGTTTCCACTTTGTTTTAATAGATCTAGTAATATATTTGTGTAAGCCTATCCATATAATATGTGTTTTTTCAAAATTTACCTTAAGTCCAGAATGTTAGAGAATGTATGGAAGGTATCTAAGGTGTTATTCAAAGAAACTTCTGAACCATCTAATAATAGAGAAGTGTCATCAGCGAACTGAGATACTCTGTATTCCACATCATTAATATTGATTCCTTTAATATATTTAGAGTTTCTTATTTTAATTGCTTAATTTTAGCACACAAAATAAAGATATATGGACTTCTGGAAGCCTCTCCCTATTTCAAAGAAGTCAGAGAGAAATCCATTTAATTGTACAGCTGTTTTTAAATTTTTCATAAATAAAGATATCCATTGTTTAAACATTGGACCAAAATTGACGAAGGGAGAGTGTGTTTTTTATGAAATTAAAAGACAAGGTATCAAGGCTTTTTCAAAATCTATCATCAATAGCATTCCAGGAAACATGTTTTCTTGTGTAGTTCATGACATCATATAATAAACGTATGTTCTCACCAATAAGTCTACCTTTTATAAAAGCCAGTTTGATCAGAAGAAATCAATGAGTCTAAAACTGTTTTTTACCTATTAGCTATTGTTCCTGACGCTAATTTATAAACACCATTTAAAAGGGTAATTTGTCGTCAGTTTTTTTTTTAAATTGTCTAGGCTTGTTATCTTTTGGAATGCAAGTAATTATCCCTTGCTTCTGAGTCACTGACAATTCTTCATTTCTAAATTCATAATTCATTGCTCTCAAAACAAAATGACCAAAAAAACTTTATAAAAATCAGCTGTAAAACCGTCTGAGCCTGGACTTTTGTCATTTTTCATATTTTTTAAAGTGTTTGACAGTTCAGAGAAAGATAGGAGTCCTTCTAGACTATTTGATTGTTCTCTTGATAATTTGTATATATCATTTGTATTGTCAAGAAAATCATTCATATTTCTATCCCCAATAACATCAGCATTATTATATAAATTTCTGTAAAATTTTTCAGTCTCATTTAATATTAATTTTTGGGCATAGATCTTTATTTTGAAGGTATGGAATTATTTTACTAGCATAATTATATTTTTCTAAATTACAAAAAAAAAAATTACTTGGTTATTTCCCCTCATCTATCCATTGTGCTCTTGATCTTATCATATGACCCCTTATTTTCTCAGTTCTTATACTTTACAGTTTTGAATGTAAATCAGATAAAGTTTTCTGATTTTCTTCATCTATGTTTGTCTCTATGTCTTGATTTTTGGAGAGGAGACTGTTTTCTTCAGAATTTCATTTTTTAGTTTTGTAACTAGAAAAAAGAAATGGTTTTGCGCCTTATTTCCATTAACAGGGTTTATAAAAAAAGTTGATCATCAATACTTAATTGTAAATCCTTATAATTGACATTTTTCAAACAGTCAATATTATATACAGGCAGCAAATA